AGGGGTATTGAGGCCAATCCCGAGAAAATCCAGGCCATCATCAACATGGAGCCCCCACGCAATGTGAAGGAAGTTCAACGATTGACGGGCCGCCTGGCAGCCCTCAACCGCTTCCTATCTAAATCGGCGGAAAAATCTCTACCCTTCTTCCAGATCATGAGGAAGACGGCTGGCTTTCTATGGACTCCAGAATGCCAGGGGGCTTTCGACGAGCTCAAAAGATATCTATCTTCACCTCCTGTGCTCTCCAAACCCAAGGTAGGGGAGACCCTCTACCTCTACCTTAGGGTTAGACCAGCGGCCATCAGCTCCGTGCTCATCCGGGAGGAAGACGGCATCCAACATGCCATCTTCTATGTTAGCAAGACCCTAAGGGAGGCCGAACTCAGGTACTCCCCTGTGGAAAAAACGGTGTTAGCCATCGTTTGGACTGCCAAGAAGTTGGGCCACTACTTTCAGGCTCACCCGGTTCAGGTCCTCACCCATCAACCCCTCGGCGCCCTCATGAGGAGCCCCACCAGCTCCTCCCGCATGGTGAAATGGGCTATCTTCTTGAGCCAGTACAACATTGACATCCGTCCAAGGCCTGCCATCAAGGGCCAAGCCCTAGCGGACTTTGTGACGGAATGTACCGCAAGAGCAGCCACAGACGGGGAGCCCTCGGCTACCTCGGACGACTGGTGGACCCTCTACACTGACGGCTCATCCGCGACCAAAGCATGCGGGGGAGGGGTAGTCCTCATTACTCCCGAGGGCTTCAGGGCCTACTATGCAATCCGCTTCTCCTTCAAAGTCTCCAACAATGAGGCCGAATATGAAGCCCTCCTATGTGGCCTTCGGCTGGCTGCCAACATGAGGGCTCGGCAGATCCACATCAAATGCAACTCCAAGTTGGTCGTTGGCCAAATCTCCGAAGAATATGAGGCCAAGGAAGGAAGAATGAAACAGTACAAGGAAGCGGCCAAGGAATTGCTTAAGGTATTTGAGGCACACTCTCTCACTCAAATACCGAGGGCTCAGAACTCCGAGGCCGACATATTATCTAAACTCTCGGCAGACTCCCCCGAGCACATCTCCAAGATTGCCAGAATCGAGGAACTCAGCCTCTCAAGCATCCATGCAAGCCCCGTGATGAACATACAACAACGTCAGGAGGATTGGATTTCAGATATCACCGCCTTCATCTCCACAGGGCAGCTACCCGAGAATGAGGCCCGCGCTAAACTTGCAAAGCTGAGGGCTCCCAGCTACACCATCGAAGATGGAAGGCTCTACAAACGATCTTACAATGGCACGCTACTTCGGTGCCTTCATCCAGATGAAGCCGAGGTCGCAATGGAGGAAGTGCACAGTGGCACTTGCTCAGCTCACCAGGGACCCTTCTCCATGTCCCGAAGGCTCATTCTCCAGGGCTACTTCTGGCCAACCATGGCCAGGGATTGTGCTGACCTTGCCCGGAGGTGCACCGCATGTCAACATTTCCAGAAAGCCCCCGGCAGGCCAGCGGTCAACTATGCACCCATCAGCACATCTGTCCCATTTTCTCGATGGGGGATAGACCTTGTGGGCCCTCTGCCGAGGGGTACCTCCAACAACAGGTACATCATTGTGGCCGTCGACTATTTTACCAAGTGGGTGGAGGCTGAACCCCTCGCCAGCATCACAGAGGCGAAGTGCCGTCACTTCGTCCTCAAGAACATCCTCACAAGGTTTGGCGTCCCCCAGCAGATCATCTCCGACAATGGAACACAATTTGAGGCAGCCCCCTTCTGTGCCCTTCTGGAGGCATGGGGCATCAAACACACCTTCTCCTCCGTTGCCTACCCTCAAGGCAACGGGCAGGTAGAGAACGCCAACCGGACCTTGCTCGAGGGCCTCAAAAAGAAGCTGGAGGCCGAGGGTGGTGGCTGGGTGGAAGAACTTCACAACATCCTCTGGGCCTACCGCACTACCCCTCGGCGCGCTACAGGTGAAACACCCTTCTCCCTCTGCTACGGTTTTGAAGCCAAAGCTCCTACGGAAGTCACCCTTCCTACCCGAAGGGTGATCCAATATGACCCCGAGGTCAACGACAGCAACATGGCCCTCGACCTGCACCTCATTTCAGAACGCCGGGAGCAGGCCTTCATCTGGGCAGAAAACTACCGAAGGCAAGTTAAAAGCTACATCGACGCCAAAGTTCGAACCCGGGAATTTCAAGTGGGGGACTATGTCCTCCGGAGGAGGGAAGCCAGCCAACCAACCGAGGGAGGAAAAATGGCACCAAAATTCGAAGGCCCCTACGTCATAGCAGCCATCATCAAACCCGGGACTTACAAACTCAAACGCCCCAACGGGAAAGAGGTCTCTAGGCACTGGAATGTACACCATTTAGTTAAATTTTATCAATAATGTAAGAGCGGCCAAGCCCTCATAACTAGTGAATGTACTATCCAATGGCCCAAGGCCTCCAATTTCGAAGAATGAAGATACATTCAAGACATCAAGCCCTCATACTGACTACAGGCCCCAGGCCTCACCACAAGAAGAACCCCCTCTGGTACCCATTGCCGAGGGCAGACACCATCAACACCTACAACAAACAGTGGATACACCACGTGTTTTCAGTCAAGACCCCTCGGCACCCAGTGCCGAGGGTACTTCCCCACCACATCAAAAAAGAAAAGATTAGAACACCAAGTGTTCCTACAGAAGACCCTTCGGCACCCAGTGCCGAGGGTACACCTCCCTCATCAAATATCGAAACGAAGAAAAAACACCAAGTGTTTCAAAGAAGACCCCTCGGCACCCAGTGCCAGGGATATGCTCTCCTAACAGCTCCCAAACATCTATTGGGAAACACCAAGTGTTTCATTTGAAGACCCTTCGGTACCAAGTACCGAGGGTAGACGCCTACATCAACTACAACAAGAGAACACCAAGTGTTCCTACAGAAAACCCCTCGGTACCAAGTACCGGGGGCTACACATCGAAACTAACACCAAGTGTTGTTTCTAAAAGCCGTACCCCACGAGGACGCATATACCGAAGGCGCCACCATCGGTGCCGGCGGCACGTAGTGCCCCCGGCCATTTGCAACTAGTGTGCAAATGAAAACCCTTCCTTGAAACGCTTTCCGCGTCACTACTCCCAGGGTATGACAGGCATGAGAAATGCCCAGGATTCGACTTTCAAAAACGGAACGCTATCCGCGTCATTACCCCCAGGGTATGACAGGCATGAGAAATGCCCAGGATTCGACTTCCAAACTGAAACGCTCCCCGCGCCAACACCCCAAGGGTGTGGCAGGCCACAGACTATGTCTAGCACCGAGGGGACGACTTTCAAAAATGAGGCGCTTTCCGCGCCATCCCCCAAGGGGAGGCAGGTTACAGACCACCATATCTTGTGCCCAGGAAACGTCCCTCGATCCCCTCGGCACTCGGATGGTTAACCCGAGGGAGGAGAGCCATTGGTGTATTCTGATGGTCTCCTAATAGGCCCAGCCTTACCAAGAAACCAAGTTTCTTGATGCCTTCCCTTCACCACCAACCAAAAAAAAAAAAAAAAAGGGTGAAGGGGAGTAGACTCAGTGAGAAATCGAAGAGTACACTCCAACAATATCACAGCATGCCGAGGGCTCCCCACGGGAACACCTCCGGTAATTGAAGACTCCTATTTCCCGAAGGATACTACTCAAAGAAATATCATCAGGAAACGGCTAAAGTCCACTACCTGGTCACCTCCGGTCACAAAAACATCGAAGGCTTCAACAATACAAAGGGACTGGACTGTCCAAGGTCCACTAAACAGTACTTCAAACAAACACCGAAGGCATCTGTTATGCACGAATACCGAGGGCCCTTTCCCCATGACAAGGGTCAAATTCTACAACTTTTAAAGTGTATGCCGAGGGCACACACTCCTCATTGGCTTTTTCACAACAACAGGATTCAACATCAATTTATGCTTAGAAAAATTCTAAGTCCTGAAGGAGCAGCCCCCGGGCACCCGAAGGCCATGCAATACAACAACACTTAAAAAAAAGAGGGTATTCTGTCCTAAATGAGTAGCCCCCGGGCACCTCGCAAAGTGATGTGGAATCAGAGGGCACCTATCACCCGAAGGCACCCAAGGGAAAATTCACACTTCGAATATTTTCTAAGTCCTACATGTATTTCCCCCCCGGTCAACTACTCTTACATCAAGGAGGGACGCCATCTACCGAAGGCTCCCAAGGGGGATTTTACACTTAGAATATTTTCTAAGTCCTACATGTTTTCCCCGGTCAACTACTCATACATCAAGAAGGGATGCCATCTCCCGAAGGCTCCCAAGGGAGACTTTACACTTAGAATATTTTCTAAGTCCTACATGCTTTCCCCCCGGTCAGCTACTCATACATCATGGAGGTATGCCACCTCCCGAAGGCTCTCGAGGGAAACTCTACACTTAGAAGATTTCCTAAGTTCTACATATTTCACCCTCATCTCAAGGGACCTAATTGCCGAAGGCTACCTATCAATCGAGGGCTACGGTTCACAAGGAATCAACACTCAAGAAAATCTTCTAAGTCCTAAAAGAATTAGCCCCCGGCCTATTCAATATTACAGGTGGGGCTCCACAGTAGCCGAAGGCAACATGGCGTACTACGCTTGCAAAAATCTCTAAGTCCTGCGCATTGGGCCCTCGGCCCAACATTCACACATCAGGAAGGGAGGCCATATCCCGAAGGCCCTCAAGGGGAAATCTACATTTAATTTTTTTTTTAAGTCCTAAGACTTGGATTACTGCAAACACCCGAAGGCCCTAATGTGTGCTACACTTAGAAAAATTTTCCAAGTCCTAATTGCTGCCGAACCATCGGTTGCATATCCAGCAGAGGGGGCCCAACTACCGAAGGCTCCTAAGGGCTAGCTACAATCAGATAGTATTCTAAGTCCTAGACATACATTCAAAAATACCGAAGGCATACATTCAAAGGAGAAAGCGTACATTCAAAACATAAGGCGTATTCGAATATGAAAAGCCCGGAGGCAGCATGCATTTCATCAAAAACAAGAGTAAGTATGAGTTTACAAACGGGCCGAAGCCGAAGGAACAATGTTGTTCATTACAAAAGATGTTCAAAGATTTCTAAGTACAAAATCATTCCACAACTACGACAGCATCGTTCACTGGGGCGCCCTCTACAGCCGGCCTCGATGATGCCTCCGCTCCGGTCTCGACAGCGTCGTCCTCGACCTCATTCTTCAACACCGTGTCCTCAAGGTCGGGCCTCTGAACACCTTCCGGGAGCGGCTCACGAACATCAGGCTGCAAGGGGGGAAGGCCATACGCCGAGGGGGAGAAGTCCTTTTGCTCAATGCCCAAATGTCGGGCCATCCTCCGGTAGATGAGGGCCTGGGTGAAGAATTCGCCGGCTTCATAGTACTCTCTGCTCTCCAACGCAGGCCTCCACGACCGAGGACACCCACATCTTGCGCCCCTCGGCTCTCCAACCCTCGGCGACAAAGGCCTCAACGGCCTCCTCCTGAACCTTGGCGACAGCTAGCGCTTTGGAGTCCTCGGCCTCTTTAGCAGCTCTCCTGGCAGCGGCCTCAGCATCAGCATTGCCTTTCTCTGCAGCCTCCAGTTTCAAGCTCATCTGCCGGAGCTCCTCTTCTAGCTGGGCCCCCAGCTTCACCGCCTCCTGGTTCTTGAGGAGGCACTCCCTCATTCTGGCGTCTTGCTCCGCTCTGTGGAGGCGCCATTCTTGAAGCCTCCGAGCCTGTTCGCCGAGGGCTAAGCAAGCCTGCAGAACAACAACAAAAACAGTTAAAGGAAATCACACAAAAATAATCAAAGGAGAAGATGGAGAAAGCCAGGTAAACACTTACAGAGAGGGAGGAGCGGAGAATGTGGTCCTCGAGGGCCGCATCATTGTAGGCCCCGAGGGCAACCCTATCCGTCTCAGGGGTCATACACCTCAGGATGGCCCCCGGGTCGACGGCGCCGCTGGCCAAAGACATACCCCTCGGGAACGCAACTGTGAGGATCTCAGGCAGCGACTCCTCTGCCCCCGCCGGCGTTCCACCCGGCAGCTTCTCCACCTGCACCCCGGAGGCGGGGTACTCATCAGCAATAATGACCGGGGGCTCCTTCTCGGCGACATCCCCCTTCTTCGGCTTCTTGGTAGCCGGGGGGACCCCTTGGTCACTGCCTTCCTCTTACCGGCAGCGGCATCGCCCTCGGCTTTCTTAAAGAGGGCAGTAGCGGGCTTCTGGACGCCCTGTCCCGACCCCTTCGGGTCCTGTTTCTTCAAACGGGCAAGGCCCTTTACATTCACCATAGAGACCTGGGATACCTGCACAAAGGAGACAAAGGGTTAGTCCGACGGGTCTAAGCGAAGGGACGATAACATCCAAGCAAAAAAAAAAACTAAGTACAAAATTCTAAAGCCCTCGGCTCCTACCTCCGGCCCCTCCGAAGGCCTTGTTGAAGGGAGGGTACTTTTCATCGGTCTCCCCTATGAAGCGGTACCTCCGGAACCCGAGGGTGTATAAATCCTCCTCGAGGGTGCAGTCTTTGATCGCCACGTTCTTGTTTTTCCCCTCCGGGAACTTGGCCAACTTTAGGCCGTCTTTCTCGAGAGCGGCACTCCTGATCTTTTCGTGCCTTCGGAATCGGTCACGTAGCTCCCTCGGGAATGGGCTCTCATCCAACTTCACGTAGCACCAACGTTCCCTCCATCCTTTGTTGGAAGAAGGAGCATCGGAGAATAATTTGAAGCGGGCAATCTGCTGCAGGTTGGCGTACCCCTCGCAGTTTTCGTGCCCCCCCGGCACAGATTAAAACTCTGGAAGAATAGATCCAGGTTGGGCTTCACCCCTCGGGACTTGCAGAGCTGGAGGAACCCCGCAATGTAGGAGTGGCTGTTGGGCGTGAGTTGGCAGGGGACCAAGCCAACAAACCGCAAATATTCCCGGAGGAATGGGTGCAGAGGGAACCTAAGTCCCATGGAAACCGAAAGGACGTGAATAGCGATACACCCCTCGGGCGCCCTGGACAACACGTCGTCAGGACCTGGCTCCACCACTTCGGCCGAGGGCCCCACGTGCAGCTGAGTCACGTACAGATCTGCCCTGTCAGCCTTCGACCTGATCTCGAGGGCCTCAATGTTCAGCCAACTATATCCCTCGGGCATGTCCACGGACTTTCCTTGATCGACGGCCCTCTCCTTCTTCTTGGTAGCGGCCTTCTTCTTCTTCACACCGGAAACCGCCCTCAGAGGTATCGGATCCAACGGCCTCGAGCTACTGGCCTCCCCGGAACCCCGAGGGGGGAGAACAGCAATCGTAACCTTCGAGCTCTCATTATGTGCCTCATCCTCCGCTGTCTGCCAGGCGAGGGCTAAGTCTTCATCATCGCACTCCTGCTCAAAGCCCTCAGCTTCAACCTCCGCAGTGAGTTCCTTCTGGACCTCCTGGGCCAGGGCCGCATCACCACCATCCGAGGGTTGACCACTGCTTGACTCCACATCAGATATGCCTTCGTCCTCCATCGAGGGCGTCCTCGAGATATCTTGAGAATCACTCTCGGACGACATTCGCGCTCTAGTTCGAAGGCTCGTACAATTAGTGTTTTCTAAATGTTCTATCTCCTAGCCTAGGGGCGCAGTACAGGTAGCTAAGAGGTGAAGGGTAACTGGAGAACTGACCTTAAGAACAGAGGATTCAACCGGGGGCTGCTGTTTCTCTCTCTAGAAAAATTGGCAGAGCTTCGCTAACAAGTTTTTCGCACACAGAGGAATGCCCGGCCTTGGGGTATTTATAGGCGCTGGAATCCGGGCTTGGGCCTGGATTCCGGGCCTCCGGATGGACGCCATCATTACTCACCGCGTCTTCGCCCAACCGGTGACGCCGCCCACGGACAGCCAGCCACCACACGCCACGTGTCCCCCCCCCAACGGCTATATCCCGTCGTTACATATTCCAGCGGCTATATTTCCAACGGCTATATTTTGGAAGCCCCCGGGCTTTCTACTTCACTACACTTCATCAAGGATAGCCTCCGGGTGCACTCACCCAGAAGTGCCCCCGGGTTGTGCCCCACACAGCACATTACACACGCCTTCGGGATCACTCCTTCAGATCCCTAGGGCTGCATATCAGGGCACCCCTCGGGGTTTTCCTCTCAGCTCTGCAAAACCGGGTAGCCCCCGGGGAGTGCCTCATTGACGGAGGGCCCATGGCCCTCGGGTACCTTCATCACCACCTCATCAACAAACAGTGGACCCCCCGGTAACAGCTTCACTGCTGCCCTCATCTGGCAGGCCCTCGATCCCTGGATTGAGGGGCTCCCCTTCGGCGCCACCAGGATATCAACAGCAAGCCTTCGGCTAATCAACACAGGAGCCATCGGAAGAGAGAGCCTTCGGCATTCCCGCCATTCTCCATTTTTTACCAAGGTTTGACATTTTCGATTCATCATTGGGGGAATTCGGTGCACTCTTTTTCCCTCATTAGGATTTTTTCCCTAAGGGTTTTTCCTAATGAGGTTTTTAACGAGGCATCCCCCCAAAATGAAACGAAAAGCGTCAGCCTTCGGCCCACAACAGCAACGCAACTACTCTACTCCTTTTCACCACTTTACAAGTGCCTCAAGGAGTGGGGGACTGGAGGACCCCTTCGGGAAAATCATTAAATTACAAAATCTGTGAAAATCCAACAAACAACAAAGCAACCCCTCAAGTCCCGACATGTGGGTAACTGAGGGACTGCCTTCGGCAGGGACCTAAAAGCAACAAATCCTCACCAAACTTCAGGAATCACGACGGGACAACATCAAAGGGCAAGCGCAAGTTACTCCTTTTCCCTCAAGTACCTTTCGACAAAAGGAGTGAGGGACTCCTGATGGAGTATATGGCCCGGGAACCCCCGGCCCACAGACTCCTACTACTCCAGCGAAGGCCCAACAGGCCCAAAAGGCCCAACAGGCCCAAATCACAGCGCCCAGAGTACCGAGCAGCCCGCACAACGCACAGGGGTGCCTTCGGCCCCCTGGCCGAAGGCTCCAAATTATCACAGAGCGGGTTTCTCAAGCAAATTAGGAAACTGGGAGAAAAAACGGCGAAAACATTAGCCCTCGACATTGTGAGCCCTCGGCACCAGGGTGCCATCGGGTGGGAGAGCCCTCGGTTACTGCTCTATAGCCGAAGGCACCTCACTCGACAAGATATCTGCCTCACATGCGTACAGATCACCGTACCCCGCACAGACGTCCCATCCAACAGCCGCATTAAATGCGGCCACATGCGGCTGCCAGCGCCAACCAGTTGAGGTGACCCCTCGGCCAATGAGCGCTTGACACGTGTCCCTGCCCGGCATTTATTGCTACTATAAATAGCACCCCATTTCCCCATTTGTAACCACACTGAAAACGCTCCACATTTATAATACACTCTCTCTATATATATTTACTGGCTCCGACTTCTCTCTAAGTTATTCCCCGTAATAACTCTTCGGATATATACCCCCGGGTAGACTATCCATCATATATGTTGAGAAAAAATGGATATTCTTCGAGCATACTTATATGTAAAATTATATACCAAACTTTTAATGATTGTATTAACCGTTAAGACTCGAAACTACTTTAACATTAACTTTTGAAGGGTTTAATGTTCATTTCCGTTTAAGGTTCTCATATCCAGATGATTAGACGAGTAAATCTTTAGAAGTATAATCACTAGTAATTGTCAAATCATCCCCTAATCTTGTACACGTTTCCAACTTTCAAATAAAAAGCTAATTTAAGATTTAAGTTGAGTTTAGATTACAAACTCAAAAAAATGAAAATTCATTTTCGGCAAGGCAGTGCAATTGGCGTTTGAGTTCTTCAAGTTTTGTGGTAACTCAATATGTAATGAGTTCATCAATTAGTGTTAAATAAATGTCTTGCCCTACGGGAGAAGCTTTGAGCCTTTGACCAAATCAGCAAATATGAAAATACACACATAACAATGAGCCTTTGACCAAATCAGCAAATATGAAAATACACATATAACAATGATTCAACATACAATTCACAACTCAACAATTCACAGTAATTTGCAATTAAACAAATAAAGAAAATCTGAAAATCATTGGACTGACCGGACTCGTGGAGCGGTGGAGGCAAGGCACGGTGGGCATTGGCGGGCTGGCGATGGCGCTGGGTGGCGGGACTGGCGGCCTTCGTCTCTCAATCAGGCGAGCCGTCCTTCACTTCTTCGTGGCTTCATAGTTCCAGAGCACCGTGGTTTCGTGTCATTCTTGAGTTCATCGAGCAGCGTGGTTTCGAGTCGTTCCAAGTCAAGCATCGTAAGCAGGTTTCAAGTCGGCGAGATTAGGACGGTAAGTTTGGGCCGTTTGGCCCACACGGCTTTCTACTTCAAGCGTGTTTCAGGGCTGGAGTACTAATACTAGTTTTTAATTTTTGGGCTGGAGTACTAATACTAGTTTTTAATTTTTTTTGGACCCTCAAAAATTTTGGGCCCTGTGCGGTCGGGCTGGGTATACCTGGCCTGGGCCGGCCCTGCCATACCTGTAACTCCAGATGATGTTCTTGTAGACGCCCTAGTAACACCTAGGGTTGGACTCGGGTCCGGGTCAGGTCCAGGTCGAGCCTAGGCCCGGGCGGGCCGACGGTTCAAGAATGGTGGACCCGGGACCGGCCCGGGTAGCCACCGGGTCCGGGCCGGGTCCGGGCCGGGCCGGGCTTCCGGTTTGGATTTTTTTTTTGCTTTCCTAACCCCCCCCCCCTCACCCCCCACCCTCCCAAACACCCCCAAACCCATCCTACCCATCAAGCCCAACCCGGGTGGAACCCCAAAAATGAAAAAAAAAATAAAAAAATTCAATTTGGCCCGGGCTCGAGCCCGACCCGGCCGGGCCGGTTCACCAAAATTGAGACCCGAGCCCGGACCCGCCCTACCCCCCGGGCCTAGGCCCGACCCGGACCCGGACCCGAGAACCGGGCCGGTCCCGGTCCCGCACAGTAGCGGGCCGGTCCACGGGCCGGGTGGCCCGACCTGAATCCAACCCTAGTAACACCTAATGGATTTCTCCCTATTAGTCAAGCTGCCCAGGAGTTTTGCCAGGAGTTTTACTTTAACAATAAGGGTTGATTTGATAGGGAGGGAGAACAGTCACAATCTTGGTTGTCACAAGACAATAATAGACCAACTGTGAAGAACTCAAAATTGATTGTACACAAAAATACACAATAATAGTTATACTTTAATTGAAATGAATTTTGCTATAAACTAAGGAGTAATACAGAAGGGTAGGGGTGGGGAAATGACCACGCTATGCCTCTCTTGACCAAAAAGAAGCCCCAATTACTCTGTACAGACTACAAATTGCGCATATGTTAGGACAGCGACTGGGCAATTAATGCTCTCTATCTTCTTCTTCTTCTAGTTCTTTTCCTGGATGGTGATTTTGAGAGACTAAAATGGTGGGCAGGATATCAAATCTCAGACATTAATATATGCATATCAATCTGCTCTCTGTACTGTGGTCTTGAACAAGAGTATATACAGCTTAGGATCCATGGAGAAATATATGAAACCTCCCACTGAATGTGTTACAAAAGATCCAAAACTCTTACCAACTATGCAGTGCCAGGCTGGTCCATATACCCCATCGAATTCCTGCAAAAACCAGACGCATTATTACAACAACTCCCCCACAATATTTACCCCACCCCAATTATTTACTTCCCTCTGCCAAAAATCTAGTCCCCTGCTCTGTTCGGAAGCATCTACCACAAGGGTTAGGTCCCGGATTCGAATCCCAAGGGTTACTATAATAAAAATGTATCGGACCTCTGCAAGTACCAAAGACAAAGTCCCACTCTCCATCTGTCAGATTGGGATTATAGTCCAATTTACATCCTCCCAACGTACCGTCCGGTCGGGTTTGAGGGCTCTGATGGGGTGTCATCCTATATGACAATTTTATCTCCCCTTAAGTGAGTGGCATTCCTCTCGTGCCCAAACCCGGACAAGGTGGGGTATATAGGGTAGCTTAGACAGAGTTTAAGAGATTACCCTTTTTCACAAACAATAATCAACTAATTCTTAGAATGTGTGTTAATCTGATGAGGGGTGGATTGAAGTAGGGAACTTAATTTTTCTTCAAATTTTTAATGCGCATTTTTCCATGCTTGACATCTGGCTTCCCAGCTAATGTCTAAGTCTAATACTCCGTATAATTAGTGTTCAACCCCAACCCTACCTTGGATCCACCATTGAATCTGATTGGAGGATGTACATAATCTTTATAATCGGTTTGGGATTTTTATAATCATTGAAGGACAACCGATAAATCGATCTGTTGAACCTGTGATTACTTATGACTCTCCACAAATGAAAAGGTAATAGCATTGGATTATTAGGTGGCCTAATAACCTAATTACACCTTAATAAGTTTCTTAGGTGTTGGGCAGCATATATTATTGGCTTTATAGACTTCCAATTTCATCCCTAAGAATTTAAGGTTGGTCTTGGGTTGCTTATGTGTGGCTTAGGAGTAAAGTATATAATTATAGAGTATCATTCTCATGAGGCCGGCCTGACAGGAACCGCCGTTAGGCCAAGGCCATTTGGGGCCTTTCCAATGAATTTTTTTGATTAAATTTTTTCAACATGTTCTTCATCGAGAAGTCATATTGTGCTTTAAATAACGATCTCCACAAATTTTCAACTTAAAATTCAATCGAAAGGTAAGTTAAATAAATTATTGAAACATATTGCACTTATTTATATACAGAAAGCGCAATATGTTTCAATATTTTGTTTAATTGACTTCTCGGTAGAATTTTAAGCTGAAATTTTGTAAAGATAATCTACATCAGATGAAAAAGATGTTCAAAAAAATCATCAAAAATTCCACCTAAAAAGTTCCCGAATGGACTCGGCTTGACAGTGTTCCCTTCAGGCAACCTGGTATGAATTGTCCTCATAATTATATGGAGTATTTCGTGTATCTTAATAAAACTTGCACTTTAATATTCTGGTACTTATTAGGTAGACTTAGCTCAAAACTCTACCTAATCAATAGGTTTAACAATTTTTTCCCCTAACACATGTTCAAAACCCATGTCCATTGACTCCATTCAACTTTGGTCCTACTTTAAATATTTGTTATAGATGAAAGGCACGTGCCCTTGCCGTCCACACTACCGGCCACGAACTTATCTGCTACCCGTGAATCCCCCCTATAATCTTAGGTTAGACCGAATTCAAATTTCAAATTTGAACAATTGGGTTAATTGGGAAAAACTCGGGTCGGGTAGGTTACCTTTTTGAGGGAAAAGGCAAGGGCCTTCGAAGTGAACTTCTCCAAGCTGTCAAAAACCTTTCTTGCACAACCGACGGCGTGAATCTGCATATACGGCGGCATATCTACGGCAACCACCTTCACGCTATTGCAAGAGAAGAAATCAGCTAGCTCAATCTGGGGGCTCGAAAATGACCTTCTTCTCCCTCCGCCGCCGCCCATTTCTAGCGACAGAGACGGCCGCCCCTTCTTCACCTCCTCCTTCTCCACATACCCACCACTCAGATCAAGATCGGTTGAAGCTTTCTTGATTCCTCCGCCGCCTCCCCCGCCGCCGCCTTTCTGGACGATTATGAACTCAGGCGGCTGTTCTTTATGAGATTTCTTGATTGGCTGCGGTTTTGTGCCGGTGTGGTGCTGGCTCTTTGACTTAGTCAGCGCTGGGCAAGAAGAGTCAACGACATGGTCGTCCTTTAAGGATGCGGAAAAAAGGTGGTGCTTGTGATTGGTGTAGAGATTGGAGAAGTGGCGGGAGATGGAGTGGATGGTGGTGGTGGGTTTGGGATCTGGGTGGGGTTGGCGGTGGGCGGTGGCGGAGGAAATGGGCTGATGCGGTTTCTTCAAGGTGGGATCCGTGGAAGCTGCTGCTGCTAAGTTGCGCCTTTGAGTTGCCATCTTTGTTTGGATGGGGTTCTGAGTTAAACAACAAAAAAACGAAAGAGAGGGGAGGGAGTATGAAGTGGAGATAGATTTTGTAGGGAGGTTTTATGATGTAAAAAGCAAGGGATGGGGTTCCACTGGTTTTGGACTCGCTGAGAAAGAGATCTCGTACTTTTGCTCTATAGTGCACCGGATGCGTACATTATAATACTGCGTTATAATACATGCAAATCACGCAAATACCCCTAATGTTGTGTTCAATGAACATTGAATTTTCTAATCTTTTTTTTATTGTGTTTATTTATAAACCTTGCAAAATAAATATCTTCTTTAGTTCCATTTGGTCCAAAAGGTGGAATCTCCCACCCCAGGAGCCCCTCATACCCCGACCCGACAGGATTTTTGGGAGGATGTTAATCACGTTGACTCAGTCGGCCCAATGATGGTAGGCTTTTTTTTCGTACGCACCAGAGGTCCAGTCTTATTTCAGGTTCTGTGACCTCCACACGGCCGTTGCGGGTTTCGAACCTTGATCACTTGATCCAAATTTCCCACCACTGAACCAACTGAGCTACCCGTGCGGGTTCTTCTTTAGTTCCAAACTATATGGAAGGAGTTTCAACCTTGTTTATCCTAGACTCCCCTATCGCTCGACTCTCTTGGGGTAAAAATAAATAAATTGTGTAACTCGTTCATTTATAATATACGTGAAGGATCGATCCCACAGTCAGGAGGCAGACTATCGATATTGTCCGCTTTGAGTTGCTCCTCACGGATTTAAAATGTGTCAATAGTGGTGGAGAACCTAAGCCTTATTAGGTAACAAGGACTCTCCTAGCCCACCGGTGTGGGATTCTTTGACATTCCTATCGAAAAGTCAGGTTTAAGAGTCGTGGGTTTGACCGGTTTGAGGGATTGAAAGACCCATACCTAACAATATAGTTGATAAAAGGGAGAACTTAGTTTATTTATTCCGATCTAATCTGATAGATATATAATCTGTATGTATTAATTTTGTAGAAATTCTAAATCTTGTAAGACTCAAGAGTGTGATAGACTGAAATGTGTCCAATTAAAACATACTAGTAATAAAAGTTTAGTTCTCTTCAAAATATATCTATCTAGATAAAGCATGATGTTGAATGACCTCAGGCGTGATTCGATCTTTATGATATATCCAATGTCTAAATAAATACAAGTACTCACTTCCTATTCTTTTGTTTGCAACATACATTAGATATTGATACAATGATTAAGGGAATGATGAAGTATGAAAGAAGCATTAGAACAGATGAGATAACGTAATTAAGCAATAATGATAAGGATACTCTGATATTTGGTAAAACTTTTCATAAAAAGAAAGTGTCACAAGATTAAAATATATGTAAAAAAGAAAGTTTTCAAATAAAATTATTTGGAGTATGGATTATAAAATTGAAATGACCTCAATCGTTCTTCAATTCAGTACTACGGTACTACCCATTACTCCAAAAAAAGATGACACCCCATTCCTGAGGGCCCTAACCTCTATCGGACAGTACGTTGAGAGGAAGTAAATTGGATTATAATTTTAATCTGACAGACAGAGAGTGAGATTTTGTCCTCGATACTCGCAGAGGCCCTATGCATTTTTAGCATAGTAACCCCTCATCGCAGTTGACGGAATTCGAACCTGAGATCTAACCCCTGTGGCACTCCTTTGCTACCGGTTGAGTTACGCGTGTCGGTTAGTAGATGCAATACTATAAATTAAATGTGTCCGTTTGTCACGAAAGATATCTTCAAATTTCATTTTCTTGGTCTCATTTTATCACTTTAGATACTTTTAAGACGCATATCTCATATCAAAATATCAAAATACTTACAGTGGCCCACAATAAATGTTGTTTTTATAGATATAATACTCCCTATATGAATAATGAACTGTACTTCATTTTTCCTTTACATTTTTGCAAAACACCTGCTCCCAAATTTAATCGGACAGAGGAGTAACATTAATCCAATAATATTTAGAACTCTTAAAGCTACGTTTGGACTTGGAGTAAATGAGTAATGGTAAAGAAGAAAACCTAAAGATTTTTTTAATACTGGGCTTTATCCTTGAAAATGTAAAGGAAAATTAAATTCATTAGTATGTTTCAATTTGCTATGTGTTTAGGTGTTTGGATGTTTTAGTATTCACAAAATAGAAATTATATATATACGATTTAGTACACATAAATTAATATCACATTTCCTCAATATCTCATTTCCTTCCAAATATTTCTCCGAATATAAATTTGATACATTTTGAATGTTAAGTCTCAACATAAAAAAAACTACCGAATTTATATTTTTAAGTAATTCTTGGTGTACACAAATTGTACATTAAGTTCTGTCTTATATCAAATGAATTACCTATATACAAAGACAATTAGAGATTGTGTATAAGTTGTGTACTAATTGAATAACAATTTTTCTATATACTTCATTCGTTCCTTAATTCTTGCAACATTGTGATTTATGCACAATTCACAAACCTTACTTTGATCACGATATTCTATTAATATACATAATGAAATTATCACGTATAAAATATTATTGAATTTCTATCAATTTGAATTTATGAAATATCAACTTTTTATAATGTGCAGTAATACATAATTAAATATAATTGTAAACAAAGTTGTCTATCTTAATATTTAAAGAACATAGGGTAGGATAGTACTTGGTTTGGTAAACTGGTTGCTTTGTCGATACATGGTTTCGTAAACTTTTTGTTTTGGTTGGCCATAATTAATGTAACGTTATGCATAGTGGATCAGTGTCCACAGTCATATAAGTGAACTTTTTCAGCATAATGACAACTATAGTGTATAAGCTATCGTTTTCACAATATGTGTCAGTTTTTGGGTTACCGAGTACTGTAATTAATTTCGATACTCTTGAGAATCATTTGACTGTGTTTCATGAATTCTATCTCGATTCTCCGATGTTTTGACAATCAATCGCAAGATACTTTTTACTTTATTCTACCCTAGTGACATGGGAGACAGAGAAAAAAAATCTAATATCACTTCCTCCGTCTCGATTTTGCCAACTTTTCCGTTTTGGTTGTCTTAAAAAACTTTGTCACTTTCTTACTAAAGAAACTAATTTGTGGTTCTGCATATTTCTCTTTTCTCTGCAGAAATCTCAACCACACAGTTTTTACTATTCTTATTTCTCACCTACTTTGCATTTGACAAAGTCCACTGGAACGGAGGTAGTACTATACTTGAACCAAGGCAAAAGGTTAAAACCAAATAGTAATGTTTTGTGACACTAGTAGTATAGTTAACGAGTTATCTCACACGGCATGACTTTTATCTGTGTACCGTACTTTTTTGTGTATTCGCCTGTGTACATAGATAAATGACCATTCTAATGATATAAAAGTTGGATTCGATGTGTATTTGATTATTTTAATTTACAACTTTTTGGTAATTGCTCATTGTCAATATAAAGAACCGTTCTTAGAGTTTTTTCTAAGGACCCAAAAGATATACTACCTCCATTCCTATTATAATTTTGAAATAGGTTTGACACACAATTTAAGATGATAAGTATTGTGTGGTGGAGAGTTATGCAGAGGAGAGAAAAATGTATAAGAAATGTTGTGAATCACAAATTCTTTACCAAAAAGAGAAAGTGAAAGTTTTAATTGGAACAAACGAAAAAGGAAAGTTGGAAGTTATAATCCTGGCCTTTATTGAAGGTGAAGTTCAGCGATCTATCATGGGTCGATCTTACAGATAAAATAGAGTCTTGATGCCTTAAATCATGAAAAACTATTAATCACATTTTATAATTTGCCCCCTTTTGTATTTAGTTATTTATCTGTTGCTAATTTGATGAATCTTTCTTCACTGAAATTATATTATATAAAATCATAATTTTTTTAAAATAATATATAAATTATGATATTTTAAGAATTAATTAGATTGTTAGTCAGTGTATCTTTTTTGTTTTGAGTTGAAAAACAAATCACTTTTTATCATATCTTTTGTTTTGGTTTTGCTCAAAATTTTATTTTATGCAATTACCATTTGGAGTAATGTGATTACTCATTTTGCAAAAAAAAATGATCCCTTTTTTGCATGAGAATGTACCGTGCACATGAGCATATACTAGTATATGGAGATATACAATCCATTTCTGGACTCCGATCTGTAAACATTGTAAATGCTAGCCCTAGCAAGTCCATTTGGATCGTAGACATGAGTCATATAATCGTTTTTTATATGCTAGCCCAGAGGCGGCTTGAGCATTTTGGAGGCTCCAGACGAAAAATATTTACTATGTACAAATCACTTTTAAAATCAAATAAATTGAATAAAAACCGCCTTATGAAAAAAGCATATTCAAAGTCCACGATATAATGTTTGTAATATTCAAAAGGATAAATTTTAAAATGCAAACTTATTCAAAACACAAGGCAAACTTGTACTTGTAAAAGTATTAAGAGACTTCAAGAACGAGACTCAGAGAGAAGAGCTGAAGAGTCTTAGTTGATTCACTAACCAAGGACCCATGTCGACGGCGGGCAGTGAGGCATATATACAGTAGCCGATTAGCGGTCTGTGTTGGACGTTGATGCGTGTTGATATCGGCTTTTGATAGTTTTTTCCTAACTTTAAGGTGTCATAAGTCTCAATTTTAAGCTCAAGTCAATTTACTGGCCGTTGGTTCGAGTTTTGGTATTTTTGGAGTCAAAATCAGGGGATTTGAGCCTGACACGGTGACACCGGTGTTTGAGAAGCAATAGGGACGAGTTGAGAAGCATTTTAGAGTTTATTAGGAGCATTGGAGATCAGTGAGGTGTTAAAGACAAAGTTTTAAGGACAAAAGAGCTCTAGAATTGGCTACAGGATCAAAAGAAGATGAATAGAGTTTGAAAACAACGGTCAGGATGACGTTCTGTCAATCGTTCAAGCATATCTTTTCTTAGGAAGATCTAAAAAACATGATTCAAGTTTCATATGAAAGCCAACTTCAAGGGCTACAAATCATATGAAGAAACCATTGTGAGAATCTGAAAGAAGCAAGGTGAAAACAGACGATGAAGTCAGACAATCTCTGTTGAGATTTCAGAATGCGACATTTCACCATTTTATTCATATATTTTTATTGGATGATTCAAATCTAGTTTTGCAAGTTGTGTTGGATAGAAGACTTTATTAACTACAACTTTGATGAAGGACGAATAGTCAAAAGAGAACTATAAAGCTGATTTCTGCTTGCAGTTGCCGTTTGATGTATTGGCGGTCTGCGAATAACACCTAATACTAATACCGGAGTAGATTTTTTTGGAGGCCCCTTTGGTAGTTGAGGCCCAAGGCAGTTGCCTGGCCCAACTGCCCTCAAAGCCGCCCCTGTGCTAGCCCTCCCTAAGAAACAATTACAAGATACTTTTATAAGTTTTTTAGTAATATTTAGTTTTTAGTGATTGAAAAGATATTTAAAAATATAGTACCTATTTAATCGTTGTTTAGTCTGGTTTGATATATAATCTGTTGGGACTAATTAATGTTAACAACTACAAAATTTCAAAGTCATATACTCCCTCCGGTTCTTATTTAAGTTCCCAGTTTGACTTCACACATATTAAGAAAATGAATTTGACTTTACTGTGGAGTGCACTGTTTAGCACTGTTTGGCACTGTTTTGTTTCCTAAAATGAAAGTGTGAACTTAAATAAGGGACATCCTAAAAAGGAAAGTGAGAACTTTAATAAGAACCGGAGGGAGTAGTAAACTAAGTAATGCTAGACTCTTAGAATTCAAATGGTGAGTTTGCATTGTTTCAAAACACGTTTAAAAAAGAGAAAAATTATATTTCTATAAATCAACTGTACATATATAATTGAATCCTCATAAAACATGTAATTATATATCCCTAATACTGGATGTAGAAATCACTTTGTGACAATATTTATGCATTTTAGTCGTGTAACTTTTTGTTGTTATTGTTATTAGTCTTGTGACTTTAATCACTTGCAAATTCGGTCCTATATCTAAAAAATCTTTGCAATTTAAGGACTGTTACTTTCCGGCAAAAAATCCGACGCCGGCATCACCTTTTCTTGTATATTAATTATCGTTGGAAAGTGTACTTTTCAGGTGGAAAATCTTTAAATCGCAAATATTTATTACTTACAAGACCAAATTTGCAAGTGACTAAAGTTACGGAAATAATAATGAAAACGATCAAAAGTAACGGGACGAAAATTACAAATTTCTCATATGTATACTACCCCACAATAGACTATTTTCTATCATAAAAAATACTCAGGTATTTCACTGTATATTAAAACAAAAATTGTGAGGCATACAAATCATGATACAAGTGATACAACAGGTAAAACATACGAAGTACTTTCCAATTATGTTTTGAAATCTATTCCTTCCATGATGGGGATTAAAATAATTGACCTAAAACTATGATTAAAACTCAATTTCTTTTCTTATGCATCACAATTATGTTTTGTTTCCTCAGAACGGCCATTTAGTCAAATATTAACTCATAGGTAATGGGTAATTAAGGAAGTCAGTCAATAGTAGAACGGTTCCTCAGAGAGTCCAGGGAAATCCAAGAACATTTCGTCTTCCCGAGACAGCATTGCTTCCATAAAAGACGAAGCAGCAGCTTCAAGATGGTCGTCGTTTGACGAAGAAATCCTGTCGTTTTCAGGAGGGGCCACATCATCACGATTCTCTGTTGGCTCCTGTGGAGGGTCCCACTCTGATTGCTGGACTGGCAAAAAGGCATCTTCAAGCAGAAAATCGCACCAGCTGAAACCCGATGAACTCGCATTATTAGCCTCTTGATGGAGGTGATTATCCACAGTTGTTGTTTTCGATGTTAAAGAGGAAGATGATGAGAGTGAAGAAGACAGGGGAGCTTCGACCACCGAGTAATTGTTATTTGTGATGGATTTAATGGCTTGGAGCTCGGCGAAAAGGTCGGCGGTGTGGCGGTGATGGTGGTCATCGGAATTTTTGGACGGGTGGAAAGGATCTCCGCCGCCGCGGATATCTTCTGGCGGTGTCTCTGCTCTGTGTGCTGTTGGAGGGTTGGTAAGGGAGCCAAAGCTGCGGCGGCCGGAGGAAAAAGAATGGGGAGAAGAAGGGGGGAAACCGGCGCCGATGTTTCCAAAGTCAGTGAGGATCTGGGAGAAGGGTTTGTGGGTGACGGGATCAATCCCCATGGCAGTCAGCTTCTTCTTCAGCTTTGCGTTCCACACGTTCTTCACCTCTGTCTCTGTTCTTCCTGGTACCTGTTGTGCTATTATTGTCCACCTGCATATTCCAATTACCATTTAGGTAGATCCGTACACTTGAATTATTTAAATGAAAATTAAAAGTGATACTACTCCGTCCCAAATTGATTTGCAAATTTGACTTTTCTTGGTCAAATAATTTCATTTTATTTTTTTAATTACAATGTCAATTTTTAATTATATTCTAATTTGGAGTTTACAATTTTGAAGAGATTTGAATGTAGTTTCGGAATATATAAATTTTAATTATTAAAAATTGAATTAATTATCGATTGGGAGCATTTGACTTTTTTTATTAGTTAACCAAAAAAAGTTGACTTTGCAAAACAATTTGGGACAAAGGGAGCATAATGATTTGAACCAATAAAGAAAGATATGTATGGTATCTCATTTTTTAATTGTTTCCAGGAGTTATAATCAAAAAAATTGTTTACTGGAGTTCTCGGTTACATTTTATTGATCTTTCTCTTTTTTATCACTTACTCTGGTCCGAAACTAGATTAGGTTAGATTACAAAAGTTAGACTAGATTTCAAAAGTTATAAAATAAACATAGAAACAAACATCTACCCAGACTAGATTAGATGAGTTCACAAGATCAACAAAAAAAACTCAATCTAATTTAAGACACCCTTAATCTTATCCTATAATGATATTTTAATAATTAGAATTGATTCATATCAAGTCATTTTAACTCTTTATTGAAGAATTTAATTTTGGATTTCAAAGCTAAATTTCTTAAGGGTGTGTTTGGGAGTTGGGTTTTGGAGGGGAGGGGAAGGTTAATGGGGGTTTATGATCCTCCTTTTCATGTTTGGGAGTTTAAAAATTTGAAGGGATGGTTTTGGAGGGCTTTTGTAACCCTTCAAAACCCTTCAAATGCTTAATTTTTAAGTTTCCCCAATTTGGAGGGTTTTGGAGGATAATTAACAAGATGGTAATTTAAGCTAAATTAGAAATGAATATCAGCTCAATGATTTGAATTTGTTATATCTCAAAGTGATTTTAATTATAATTCTTTCAAAAATTCTCTCCTTCCAATTTTATTACTCCCAAATATAAAGAAGGGCTTCCTCACCCTCCCCTCCCTTTCCCCTTCAACAACATACCGTTAAAGCCTCCCCCTCCCCTTCCCTCCAAACTCCCAAACATACCCTAAGAGTTGTTAAAAGGCTACTCTAAAATTCTAGAGCCTTTTCATGATCAAATGCCTCATCTCACCGTGTTTTCTTTATCTTTACTTTATTAATAAAATGTATTTTAACTTTTTTATGACTTAGTCAATTATGAGGTTGTGTGTTAAGATCTGGGGTTTTATCCTGAAAGGTCAATCAACCTGATAGGAGGAGCAACCCAGATCTTAATATAGCATTTAATTATTTAAGAGATATCCGGTGTAGGACAACAAGACCCCTCCTCATGACCAGACACTTCGTCTTGATCGTGTCATCATTAATTTTTCATCACCACAGATCAATTTGGCTATTATACCATGTTAAGATTTTTGATTCGATCCTAAAAGGTTAACTTGATAGGAGGAGGAGCCCACATCTGAATATAGCGTTTAATTGTTGAGATATCCGGTGTAGGACAACAACCCATAGGGACTCTAAATTAATGATTTAAGGATATGAATTTGTCCAACATAAAAAAGTAAAGTGTCAATGGATGATTCCACAATCCCACATAAAAAGATCCATCTTCACATGCCTTTCAATGTGCCTCCAAACAGAGTGTGTAGAAAATCATCTTAAAATGTTCTATCTTGATTTGAGTTTTCATAGTTTGTTAATCTAAGATGGCATTATAGAGAATTAAGTTGACAGTAGAAGAAAAATTAGCGCTGGTTATGCAAAAAAAGGCATAAGAAACCCAGGAAAGCATAGATTTTATTATACCTGCTTCCTATGGTGGCATGAAGTTTGACAATGAGTTCCTCTTCCTGGGTTGTGAAGTTACCATCCTGAAGATCAATATCATGTTTCTGCCGGTTACTCCACCGCGGCCTGCAACTCTTTTCTACCTTCACCATTCCTGATTTAATTACCCCAAATGAATCAATGTTCACAAAAAGAAATTAGAAAAACTACACAATTTTCGTTTTTAAAGCTCATTTGATAAGTATTAGTTGATTTAATCACTAAAAGGTGTGTTTGTTCTGCTATTTATGCTATTTATTCTGCTCACAAACACAATGTCATGCTCATAAGACTACCAAACACACCCTTAAGCTACACACTGTAGGTGAAGATAGTACCTGTTGTTTTCTTGGAAATGGGTGTCCAATTACCAGTTTTGTTTCTTGATACAGTTTTTTGTGTATCCTCTTCATAATCATAACCCCAAAAGCCTCTTCTTGAGGGCAGTTTCTCTGCGCAGCCATTAAGCCTTTTCATAATTTAATTTCTTGCTTCAAAATTATAAATCTGAAAAGTTTGGCTTAAAAATTAAACAAATTGAAATATAATGATAATGGATATCCAGAGTAATGTGAAGAAGTGTAGTTACGTATATGTATTTATATGTAATAATATATTACTTCGTGTTAATAATATAAAATTAAAGCGTAGGCAAGGAAAGCATGAGAGTTAGTCTACTTAAACTAAATTTGCATGATGGAATGCATCAATAATACTAAAGATGTCTGCAAATGATAAAGAAACATGAGTATATAATAGGTTCAGTTTGGGTGAATTATTTGGTTAAGCATAGGTTTATTATTTCTAATTAACTAATTTGGTTGAAAAAAGAAATTGGACATCGGCTTGAGCCCCATCTATCTAAGTCATCAGTTTGACAAGAGTCACAAGACTAACTATATACTATGTACTTCTTATTACTCTAAACAAAGATTCGATTCATTTTAAAAGTAAAAAATTTGGAGAGGGCATTTTATTTATGTTTTTAAAGCATAATAGCCGGTTTACAATGGTTACAATCAACTGAACTACTAAAATTACTGAAAGGGAAATCTGTCAATTTGATCCTTCAACTATCAAGAAAACGTCAATTAGGTCCTCGTAATTTAAAAAACATCAATAAAAGCCACGAACTTTGAAAAACGTTCAATTGAATCAATTAGCAGATTACTTGCTACGTCAGCACACATCAGGCAGTCCACATATGTGCCACATCATCAGAAAAATGATTGATCGGGCTTCTACATGTGTGCCACGTCAGCAAAGTCACTGCTGGCTGGAGTGCCATGTGTGTGCCACGTCAGCAGGTGACCTGTTGACGTGGCAGGTAACCCGCTAATTGACTCAATTGAACATTTTTTCAAAGTTCAAGAATTTGATTCATTTTTTTAAAGTTCGAGGAGCTAATTGACGTTTTCGTGATAGTACGAGGACCAAATTGACATTTTTGCCTTACTGAAATGTTCATTGGAACGACTGGATCAATTTATTTTTTTAGAACGATTGAATGAGTTAACTGATAAAAAAGTATTTAAAAAAATTATTAAAAAATAAAAAAGAAATATTTTAAAAACAAATAGAAGAGTCATTTTAAACAAACTTATTTATTTATATTATTTTATAATTTAACGTATGAAATCAAAAGTTTAAGTGACTAATAAGTTGAAAATGAGTTATGAAATATAGACTCTTATTAAGAGACTGGGTGAGAAATGCAATTTAATTTAACAAAAAATCAAGTATCCAAAAGTAATTTTATGGAAATTCATTCAACGTATTCATATCAATTATACTCCGTATTAAATAATCCTTGTGACATACGGAGTACAATTTTGCTTGGTGTACACCTTTTGTGTACATCTTTTGTGTACACACGTCTGTCCTCAGCAGACGAGTTGGCTGTCCACAGACAACTCTACACAAAAATTGTGCACAGACAACTCGTCTGCTGGGGACAGATGTGTGTACACAAAAGGTGTAGAGCACACTTTTTCCATGTATGGGGCAGTACTTTCTCAAAGATATTGAGTTTGACTAGCTAGCTTGTGTTGATTTTTAATCTTCTTGTCAATGAGTTTGACAAGACTTTCTTTAAGTCAAAGATCACACAAAATATGATAATCACTTACCACCGAGCATGAAAGGTAACCAACTAACTCACGACTCTACTTCATTGTGACTTCTATGCCCCGTGCCGATCACTTTTGCATGTATAAAAACCTACTATGGTCTATGGGGCCTGATTGAATTCACAACAACTTAACTTTTATTTGTCGGAAAGATGTGTTAAAATTGCATTAAATAGTCAATTTCGGATAATATTTTGACTGAGGTATAATTCCGATTTGGATTGAGACATTGAATCAAAGTGGTTTCAGATTTTCTTTGTTAAAAACATCAATTCCATATGTCGTTTCAGATTAAGTTTGGCCTTTTTTATGAATATTACTAAAGTGGACACAAAAGACAAAAATGTAACTTGTTTTTATATTTTCCAAAAATGTGACTAAGGGGATGTTTGGATCTGATTCTTAAAACTGCCCCTGCTCCTTCAAGGAGCAGAAGCAGAAGTTGGAGTGTTTGGGTGAAATGCAGAAGTGATTCTGGTGCTCTAATTTACTCCTAGAATCAGTTTTTTAGAAGTTGGGGGGTACCAGCTTCTGAAAACTGATTCTGCTTCTGCTTTAAAAAATAAGCAGAAGCAGAATCAGTTCCAAACACCCCCTAACCATATAATTTATAGCCGTATTTAATATTGTATTTATTATTTTGATATTCCATTTTCATAATTAATAATTAATCAATGTCTTCTAGCCCAGTGTCGTCGCCGCTGTCGCCGCCGCCGTCATAGTGACTCTATCACCCTACATTGTCTAGTGACTTCATACCGCTACCTTCTCCGGTGACTTAATTTGTACCTCTACCTTCTCCAGTGACTTAGTTGGCAAAGTTCGGATAGTGACTCCATTACTATTGTTCTCAGTAACTTTATTGCCTTATCATCTCTGATTTCCATTGACTCGCCACAGTGACCGTCTCCCCTATAGTGACTGCCACTATAGTGACATAACCAATAGCTGCCTACCGATAACTGGCGCCTCCGCCGCTACCTCATTCAGAGACCACTCCGCCTTGTCTCACTGACCTGAACCCCCTCCTCTGGCCCCCACTCCTCTCCCCACTCCCAATTCTCCCCTCACGTTCCCCAGCCCTACACAACCATTGTCGACCCATGCACCTTGACCCTACCCCTGCAATCGTCCCATCCCGCCCTCACCCACAGAAAATAGGGTCATCACGACTCACAAAATCTTTGTAACCTGTAGACATCATCAACAACCGCTGTCTCATTCGCCCATTATTAGCGCTCATCTTCTCCAGTGATGACAATCCATGATGGACATAACAGAAAGAGAAGAAGAGGAGAAGGGACGAGATTCACGATGGGAAGGGACGCTAGACAACAAGGAAGCAGCTGATGTTATGATTAAGGTTAAGCAAAAGATAAATTAAAGAACTATAACACAAGAATTACGTGGTTCACACAATCGGGGTGATTGTGCTAGTCCACGACGAACGAGAGAGCAGTATATTATTATGTCGCCACGTCAGAGTTTACAAGTACAACATAGATGTTTAAATAGGTCTAAAAAAACCTAAACGAAAATAGGAGCCGCAGGGCCGAAAATAAAGCCCGTACTAAATTTTTTTTCACATACCCGGTCAGGTAAACCCATGTACCCGGTCGGGTATTTCATCTAGAGTGTTTTCTCTCACGCTACCCGGTCTGGTAGCCAGACGGGTGTTCTTCACTGATAACATACCCGGTCGGGTAAAACACCTTACCCGGTCGGGTATCACTTCCAGAGAGTTACGAGGCCGAAATCTTCCTCATACCCGGTCGGATAACCTAACATACCCGGTCGGGTATCTGCTGTTGTATTCAAAACAAGGCTCCATCTTCAACAATCTCCCATTTGGAGGCTTGTTCAACAATCATCTGCCATCCAAGAACATGTATCCTCTGTAAAAAAAACCTGATCCCTCTCTCTCTCGTTCACGCCTTCTCGTCAAGTATCTCGAAGGCCATTTGAAGCCATGTATAGTTTCAACTTCTCCATTGTCACCGTCTTGGTAAGCATGTCTGCTGGATTCTTCGTACCAAGGATCTTCTTCAAATTTATAGTACCATCTTCAATCAACTTTCGGATGAAATGATACCGCATCTTGATGTGTTTCGTTCTGTTGTGAAACACCGGATTCTTCACGAGATGGATAGCACTCTGGTTGTCACAAAATAAACAACAATCTCCGTACTTCATGCCCAACTCCGAAAGGAAGTTATTCAACCAAATCAACTCCTTGTCCGCTTCGGCAAGGGCCATATACTCTGCTTCTGTGGTTGATAGAGCCACACTCTTCTGTACTATGGACATCCAACTGATCGTTGTACCTCCAATAGTGAACACATACCCCGTAGTGCTACTGTACTCACCCCCATTATCACTCTTTAAACACTTAATCTTATGATTTGTTTCATTCTCAACTGCAGCTTTAAACTTCTTAAAAGTGTTAAAGACATCAAATTTATTCTTAAAATAATAAACCCATACCTTCCGTGTAGAGTCATCAATGAATGTAACATAGTAGCGGGAACCTCGAATTGAAGAAACTTTTGTGGGTCCGTAAACGTCTGAATGAATCAGCTCCAGTCGCTCAGTCTTGGGTGGTTGTACTGTCTTTACAAAGGTTACCTTCTTTTGTTTGCCAAGAACACATGGCTCACAAAAACTCAACTTTGAATTCTTCAAATCTGGGATTTTGCCTTTTGAAGACAACATCTTCATTCCGTTCTCACTCATGTGCCCAAGTCTTTGGTGTGACAAAGTAGAGACCCTCCGTCTTCAACCGCTGCATTAGCTCCATCTGCAGACACTTCAACTATGTACAATGTACCATGCTTTTGTCCACGAGCAATAATCAGCTTTCCCTTTGTCACCTTCCATTGCTTGTTGCCAAAACTCACGTTATGGCCTTCCTCATCAAGCTGTCCCACTGAGATCAACATTTTCTTCAGGTCTGGAATATACCTCACATCTTTCAGCTTCCAGGTTGTGCCCAAAGTGGTACTGTGGACAACTTCCCCAATACCTGTGATCTCCAGAGACTTGTCATCTGTCAAACGAACTCTTCCGCTGTAGGGCCTGAAATTTTGTATTAATTCCCTACAATGACAGACATGAAATGACACACCTGAATCCATGATCTTGGACTCAATTGAATTCTCAACGCTGCAAATTAAAACATCTTCATAGTCCTCTGCCACGTTCACCTCCTTCTCGCCTTTGTCTGCAGAGGCTTTTGGGCACTGATTTCTGAAGTGTCCATTCTCCTTGCAATTCCAACAATTGATGTCCTTCCTGTTCTTGGATTGACCTCTCTTCCTCGACTTTGATCTCCCTCTCCTGTTACCTCCTTTGTTGGATTTTCTGCCCCTGTCTTCAGTATTCAACAAATTGTTGGAGCTATCCCCCGTACTCTTCCTCCGGATATCCTCACCAAGGATCAAATCACGAATACCTTCAAAGGTAAGCTTAGTGGTTCCAGTCGAACTACTAACTGCTGTGAGTGT